AAAGGCGCCCGCTGCCGTGGCCTAGGTTTCTCACTGAAAATCCTCGTCCCCCGGCGGCACTTTTTTTTAAATTTTCTTCCTTTTCAACGCCGTTTTTCGGGACTTTAGGATTTTCTTTGAATTTTTTCGCAATAATATTTGAAAAATAGATAAATTTTAACACATTTTAATGCAATAAAATTTCTGGTCGGAGTCCCCCTTTAAAATTATGAAAATTGGTTTAAAAATCGTGGAAAATAGTCCAGAATCCATGAAAACTGGTTTAAAAAACATGAAAAATGCTCCGAAATTCATTAAAAAAAATTACACTGAAACCCAAAAAAAAAAGACTCTTAATCACCCCTAATTACCCCTAATTTCCCCAAAATCAAATTTTCAGCACCTGGCTCGCCACTCCGACTTCTTCCGCGGGCTCTTCTTCACCAACTTCGTCGAGTCCCGAGAGAAAATTGTGGAGCTCAAAGAGATTTCCGCCGAGTCTTTCCAGATTTTTCTGGAATTGATTTCTGGTGGCAATGGGTTGACTGGTGAGTTTGCGCGCATTTTGAGGTTGAATATATATGCTGAAAATGCATATTTTTGGACCGAAAAACTTTTCCAACAAAATTTTTTTTTTGAAATTTTTCAAATTTTCAGACTCCAATGTCGAGGGAGTGCTGAAAATCTCGGGGGTCTGGTTCGCTTCACTTCCATTTGAAAAATGCCAAAGATTTGTTATTGAGAGATCGAGCTTCAATAAAAAGGAGAAGCTGGTCCTGGCCGATAAATACAACTTGGAACCTCTGAAGGTGGGTTTTCGGAATTTCAAAATAATTTTTCATAACTTTTTTCAAATGCATGATAGAATATTGATTTTAGTTTCATTGGATTCAGCGTAAAATTTCAGTCTGGAGAGTAATCAATCAGGCTAAACGAGACCCAACGAGACCAAACGAGACCCATCGGTCTCGTTAGGTCTCTTTGCTCGGATTCTCAAATGTCTTTCATCGATCTAGACCGAAATTTTACGCTATCCTAACGAGACCTAACGAGACCTAACGAAATCTCACGAGACTTGACGAGACCCAACGAGACCCAACGAGACCCAACGAGACTCAACGAGACTCTTTGCTCGGATTCTCAAATGTCTTTCATCGATCTAGACCGAAATTTTACGCTATCCTAACGAGACTTAACGAGACTTAACGAGACCTAACGAGACTGACTAAATTTTCCAAGTCTTAGGTCTCGTTGGGGCTCGTTAGGTCTCACTTTGTCTCGTTGAGTCTCGGTGGGTCTCGTTGGGTCTAGTCAGGTCTCGTTGGATCTCGTTAGGTCTCGTTAGGTCTCGTTGGGTCTTGTTCGGTTTTTGAGAACTTTTTTCAATCAAATCTTTCCAGAAACTTCTGTTCGATGACGTGAAGACAATTACGGACCTCGACATCCTTCTACCGGACACTGAAGCTGAAATCAATGGATTTTCGGCGGATACACACTCGCGGATCACCAAGAAGAGCTTGGAATTCTTGAAGATTGCTAGGCCACGTCAAATGATTATGCCGACGCAGATTTTCATGCGGGATTACAGACTGCAAGATGTGACATCGTGGATTAGGGAGCGACAAGAAGCCGAGAGTCAGAATCAGAATAATCAGAATAATCGACAAAATTAGAAATTCGAACAAATGCTTTTTTGGAGTTTTGAATTTCCAAAATTTCCTATTTTTCCTATCCTAAAAAAATTATTTTTTTTGTCCAAAATTATATTTTTGAACATTGTATTCTCTGCTTTAACTTGTATTTCCTCTCAATTATTTTCACAAAAAAAAAAAGATTTTTATCAATTTTTTTGTTTCTGATCCTTCACTACTTGGTTCAAAACCAGGCCGAGTTTATCTATTTCTTATCGATCTTCATCCATTTTTCGTCCATTTCGGTCCGTTTTTCGTCCGTTTTTTGCCCAATTTTTGTCCGTTTCATGCCCGTTCTTCATCATTTTTTTGTCCATTTTTGATCCGTTTTTCAGCCAATTTTCATCCGTTTTTAAGCGGTTTTCAGCCATTTTTTGTCCATTTTTGGTCCATTTCCACCTATTTTCTCTAATGTATTCTCAATTTTTCAGAAATGCTAGCAGCATCTTCTTCAAATGTTCCACAACTCGCCAGTAAGCCCTCCGGTGCTCCGAAGCCAATGGACTTCACTGGAACGGATCCATCGCTGACGGACGGTGTCGTTTTGGTGGATGGCCAGAAGTTTCATATTTCAAAAACTGTGAGTTTTTGAATTTTGAGGTTTTATTTTTAAAAAAGGAAAATATATGATCTTGCCGCTAATTTTTGGCAGTTTTTTGCGTTTGAGAAACTGAAATTTTCCAAAAAAAAAATCTTGAAAATTCTGAAAATTTCAGCATCTCGCCCGCCATTCTGTGTTCTTCGAAACTATGTTTTTTGAAAAAGGCTTCCAAGAAGCTAATCAGAAAATTGTGGAGCTAAAGGAGGTTTCAGCGGAAGGGTTTCAGCTTTTCCTGGAACTAATAAATGGTTACAATCGGTTGTCAGGTGAGAAAATTTTAATGAAAAATGACTGAAAATCATGAAAATGGTAAAAATCCATAAGAAATACCTCCAAAAACTAAGGAAATGGCTCAAAAATGACAAAAAAAAAACGAATCCGAAACCAAAATTTCAATCCTTTTCAGACGAGAATATAGAAGCCGTCATCAAGTGCTCTTCAATGTGGCAGTCTGACATCCCCCTGAAAAAGTGCACCAAGTTTCTTCAAAAAAAGTCGAAACTCTCCAAAACCGAGAAATTTTTGCTCGCCGATAAGCTGGACATCATAGTTTTGAAAGTGAGCATTCGAAAAATGTATCATAACTTTTTAAATATTCATGATAAAAAACTGCTTTTAATTTTTTTGAATTCAGCGTAAAAATTTAGTCTAGACTCTGCAAAGAAATTTGAGAATCAGGTTAAACGAACCCAACGAGACCCAACGAGACCTTTTGAATACGTCATAGGTCTCGTTGAGTATCGTTAAGTTTAGTTAGATGTCGTTGGGTCTCGTTAGGCCTCGTTAAGTCTCGTTGAGTCTCGTTATGTCTCGTTGGTTCTCGTTGAGTCTCGTTAGGTCTCGTTAGGTCTCGTTAGGCCTCGTTAAGTCTCGTTGGGTCTCGTTATGTCTCGTTGGTTCTCGTTGAGTCTCGGTAGGCCTCGTTAAGTCCCGTTAGGCCTCGTTAGGTATTGTTGAGTCTTGTATTGTTGAGTCTCGTTAGGTATTGTTGAGTCTTTGGAATATGTCATAGGTCTCTTTGGGTCTCGTTGGATCTCGTTAGGTCTCGTTAGGTCTTGTTAGGTCTCGTTAGGTCTCGTTAGGCCTCGTTAAGTCTCGTTAAGCCTCTTTAAGTCTCGTTAAGTCTTGTTAAGTCTCGTTGGGTCTCGTTAGGCCTCGTTATGTCTCGTTATGTCGCATTGATTTTCGTTGAGTCTTGTTAGGTCTCGTTAGGCCTCGTTAAGTCCCGTTAGGCCTCGTTAGGCCTCGTTAAGCTTCGTTGAGTCTCGTTATGTCTCGTTGGTTTTCGTTGAGTCTCGTTAGGTCTCGTTAGGTTTTGTTGGGCCTCGTTAAGTCTCGTTAGGCCTCGTTATGTCTCGTTGGTTCTCGTTGAGTCTCGTTAGGTCTCGTTAAGTCCCGTTAGGCCTCGTTAGGCCTCGTTAAGCTTCGTTGAGTCTCGTTATGTCTCGTTGGTTTTCGTTGAGTCTCGTTAGGTCTCGTTAGGTTTTGTTGGGCCTCGTTAAGTCTCGTTAGGCCTCGTTATGTCTCGTTGGTTCTCGTTGAGTCTCGTTAGGTCTCGTTAGGTCTTGTTGAGTCTTGTTTGACTGATTTATGATTATAACTTTTTTTAGACTTCCTTCATCAAAGAGGTCCAAACTAATGCGGACATGGAAAACCTGGTTGGATCGCTCGATGTTTCGGTTTTTAAGCCAGCTACTGTTGAAATGATCGCCAGAAAATCTCTGGAAATCAATAGAGTCCGTCAGCCGCCAGTGATCGACCTTGCTTAAAATCTAAAAAATTTCTATTGTTATCTGAACTTTTTGAAGGAATTTTTTCTCCATTTTTTGAAATTCTATCACTTGGTTCTGAAAACCATCTGGAAATATTTTTTAAAACCTTTTTCCATCCGTCTTTCGTCCGCTTACGCCAATTTTCTTCAAAAAATCCCCAAATTTTTTCTCAATTTTTCAGAAATGCCACAGCCGAATGCTCGACAACGCGCCAGAAGGACCTCTGGTGCTCCGCAGCCGATGGATTTCACCGGAACGAAACCATCGCTGTCGGATGGCATAGTTTTGGTGGATGGCCAGAAATTTTACATTTCAAAGACGGTGAGTTTTTGAATTTTGACTTCTTTTCCGAAAAAAATAATATTGGAAATAGAGGTTTTTGGTGCCAATTTTCAGCCTTTTTTTTCTGAAAAACTGAAAATTTCAAAAAAAAAATTTCAAAAAATTCTGAAAACTTCAGCACCTGTTCCGCCATTCTATGTTCTTCAAGAACATGTTTTTCGAAAAAGGCGTCCAAGAAGGTAATGAGGAAATGGTGGAGCTTAAGGAGGCGACAGCAGAAGGATTCCAGATTTTTCTGGAACTTATTAATGGACAGAATCGATTATCAGGTGAGAAAATTTTAATGAAAAATGACTGAAAATCATGTAAAAAAGTTCAAAATGCATGGAAAAGGCTGAAAATGGCTGAAAATCATGAAAACCATCCAAAAAATCAATTTTTCCAGACGAGAATATAGAAGCTGTCACCAAGTGCTCCGCGATATGCCAGTCTGACATCCCCTCGAAAAAGTGTCTGAAATTTCTTCAAAAAAAGTCGAAGCTTTCGAAAACTGAGAAATTTTTGCTCGCCGATAAGCTGGACTTTATTGCTTTGAAGGTGAGCATTCGAAAAAAAAATGTATCATAACTTTTTAAAAATTGATGATAGAAGGCTGATTTTAATTTTGTTGAATTCAGCGTAAAAATTTAGTCTAGAGGATAATTAGGCCACATGAGACCCAACGAGACCAAACGAGACCAACACTCAATTTTTTAGGTCTCGTTGGGTCTCGTTAGATTTCGTTAGGTCAGACAAAAAAACAGGATAATTAGGCTGAGTGAGAACTCACGAGACTCAACAAAACTAGGTCAACGTCTCTTTAGGTCTCGTTGAGTCTTGTTAGGTCTTTTTAGGTCTCGTTGGGTCTCGTTAAATCTTGTTGTGTTTAGTTAGGTCTCGTTTGACTAAATTAATGCCTTGACATTTTCAAGCGTTGGCTCCTCAGTGATGTGAAAACCAATGAGGACATGGATGGCCTGCTTCCACCGCTCGATCTCTCGGCTTTCAAGCCGAATACCGTGGAATTGATCGCCAAAAAGTCGCTGTCGATCAATGGAGTTGATCGTCCGCCACGTCCGATTGAAGCTCCTATGGGTTATCGTACTCAAAGAAACGGAGCATCTCCACAAGAAATGCGGGAAATTCTATACATTTTAGGAAGGCATATCAATCAACCATGGGCTCGAAGAATACGAGACGAGCGTAATCCACTGAATGACCACGACAACGAGCTCCTAACGGAGCTCAATAACATCCAACAGAAGATCCGTAATGGTCCCGCATACAGTTTATGGGGTCAAAGACGTCCTGAACGCGAATGTTCTCGAGAAAGATCCCCACACCGTCCAACGTATGGATCAATGCTTAACAACACGCCTTTCGCACGCTATGGAGCTCCGGGAGCTTTTTCATACAGTCCGTACAGGCAATAGAAGATCCCCTTATAAATTTTTGTCTCATTTTTCTCCTCTTTTTCACATTTTTTTTTGTAAATTTCTCATATTTTTAATGTTTCTTTTTTTTCTATATTTACTGAAATAAAAAATTTTAAAAATATTTTTTTTTAATTTTTGAAATTCTATCACTTGGTTCTGACAACCGGATGGAAATATCTCTATTTTTCAATTTTCCTGGAATTTTCGATTTCTATGTTTTTCGTCCGTTTATTGTCTGTTTTGAGCAACTTTTTGTCCGTTTTCTTTTCGAAAAATATTGAAACCAAGATATTTTGAAAATCCTGGAAATTTTGAAATTTAATTTTTCCGAAATTTTTCAAAAAATCTGAAAAATCATCGAAAATCCATTATTCTAGAAATCGCGAAATTTCAAAAACTTTCGAAATTTTAAAGAAAAATCCTGAAAATCCCAAAAATCAAAATTCACGAATTTCCTAAAAATCAGAAAATTCGAAATTTTCGAAATTCTCAAAAACCCTGAGATTTCAAAAAATCTGAAAATCTTGAAAATCTAGTTTTCTGTAAATTCCGAAATTCAAAAATCCATAAGTTTGAAAAATCCAAAAAATCCCAACATCAAGGTTTTCAAAAGTTTTTAAATTTTAAAAAAAAATTATTTTTTGGTTTTTTTTTTCAAATTTCACTAATTTGATCCCAACCTTTTCCATACCTGATTTTTCTTGAATTTTTCAAATTCCCAGCTCATTTCCATCCAATTTTCGTGCAATTTTCAGATAAATGGACCCGACTTCTTCATCATCAACTTCTCGAAAAAGAGTCAGATGGGCAGATGCACCAAATTCCAAAAAGAAGCCGATGGATTTTTCCACAGATGATCCAGCTCACTATGACGGTGTGGTCCGGGTAGAGGGACAGAATTTCTATATTTGTAAGCATGTGAGTTTTTTTTTTGGGAATTCAGAAATTCAGAAATTCAAAAATTCAGAAATTCAGAAATTCAAAAATTCAGAAATTCAGAAATTCAGAAATTCAGAAATTCAGAAATTCAGAAATTCAGAAATTCAGAAATTCAAAAATTCAAAAATTCAGAAATTCAAAAATTCAGAAATTCAGAAATTCAGAAATTCAGAAATTCAGAAATTCAGAAATTCAGAAATTCAGAAATTCAGAAATTCAAAAATTCAGAAATTCGAAAATTCAGAAATTCAGAAATTTAGAAATTCAGAAATTCAGAAATTCAGAAATTCAGAAATTCAGAAATTCATAATTTTTTGTCTAAAATTTTTAATTTTTCAGCAATTGGCTCGACAATCTGAATTTTTTCGAAATTTGTTTTTCCAAGGATTCGAAGAATCCAAAAAGGACGTCATCGAGTTGAAGGAGGTCTCTGCGGAGGCGTTCCAGCTGTTTCTGGAGCTCATCAGTGGGTATAATAGGCTCAGTGGTGAGTTTTTGACTTTGACTGGTTATTTTAATTTTTCTGAATTTCTGAATTTTCAGACGACAATATCGAAGGAATCACCAAGATCTCTGCCATGTGGCAGGCCGACATCCCCCTGGGCAAATGTTTGAAATTTCTGATGAAAAAATCAGAATTCACAGAAGAGGACAAGCTGATCCTTGCGGACAAATACGATTTGGCGGTTTTGAAGGTGAGCCCCTTTAGCTAGAGCGCAGAGAAACGAGACAAAAATCACTCTTCTAGCTGCTCTAGGCGAGATATGGCTATTCGAAGTTCTAGAAGGCTAGAGGCACAGACAGCGAAACACTCTAACTGTCTGCGTCTCTTATAGAATACAATCTTTAAAATTTGAAGCATGTTACGCCAAAAATCGCCCTTCTAGCTGCTCTAGGAGGCGAGATATGGCAATTTGAAGTTCAGTATACTAGAGACGCAGACAACGAGACACTCTACCTCTCTGCGTCTCTTCCAGACTGCAAAAATCCATATCTTCGCCCCTAGGCTAGCTAGAAACATGATTTTTGTTGCGAAATGTTTCAAAATTGTTAGATTTCATTCAGTGAGAGAAGCAGACAGTTAGGGTGTCTCGCCGTCTGCGTCTCTAGCCTCCTGATCTTCAAATAACCATATCTTGGCTCCTAGGATAGCTAGAAAAGTGATTTTTGGCGCAAAATGCTGGAAATTGTCTGCGCTTCATTTTCGATTTAAAAATAGATTTTTTCCAGGATTCCCTCTTTGAAGACGTCACATCCACTCTCGATATGGAAATGCTTCTTCCCGATATGGATATAGCGAGCTTTAAGCCGGACACCATCCTCATGATTGCCAAGAAGTTTATGGAAATCAATGAGGTGCGACGTCCGATGCCTCCAGATTCTCCAATCGTCGTACAAGTCGACTCGGATCCAGATGACAGCGACGATGAAGAAGGAGCCCCGATTATCGGATTTCGAAGAGTTCAACGAATTGCACAAGCCTTCCCCGGCAATATTGGTCGGTTACTTCCTCCAATAGCCCAAGATGCGGCTCCACAAGCTCTAGATGCTCCAGGACGAGTTGGAGAGGCTCAAAGAAATCTTCTTGGAGAAGCCATTAGACTTCGAAACCTTCAGCAAGCCGACAGAAATGCTCAGAACGCTCCAAATGGATTGGCTCCAGAAGGTCCAGGAGCGCCGATAGCTCCAGGATTGGCTCCCAGAGCTCAAGAAGAGAATTTCTGGGCTCCATTGGCTGCGGAATTGGCTCCAAGAGCTGCAGCAGATCCAGAATTGGCTCCAAGAGGTCTAGGAGCTCCAGATTTGTTTCCAAGAGGTGAAGGATTGGTTCAAGCGGCTCCAGCAGCTCCAGAAGGGATTCAAGTGGCTCCAAGAGCCCAACTACCGTATGCTCACGCTTTCGGAGACGCCAACGCACCTCAGAATTATCAGAATGCCGTCTGGAATGAAATAGTGCTCAGAAATGCTCAAAATGCTCAATATCAAGAATTCTTCTTTCGTCATTTTCCTCCGTTTTGAGGCGGAATGCTCAATTTTCAGGATTTCACAACTTTGGGCACTTTTTAATTTTTTTTTTCTGAGCCGAATTTGAGTCATTTTTAGCGATTTTCAACAATTTTTGGCTCATTTTGAGTCATTTTTGGCTCATTTTTAGTCAATTTCTGGTTCATTTTCAGTCAGTTTTTGGCTCATTTTCAGTCCATTTCGAGTGTATTTTTGGTTTTTTCGACATTTTCTGAGCCTCTTATGACCGATTTGACCCCATTTTTGCCCCCATTTTTTTCCGATTTTGCCATTTTTGACAATTCTGGTGTAATCTCTGAAATTACCTTTTTGATTTTGTTTTGTGAAATTTTTAAAAATTCGCTCCTCCAGTTTTTTTTTTGTGATTCTAAAAGTTTGAATTTTGAATTTTTAAAATTTTTTTTTTTTCAATTTTTTGAAATCATATCATTTGGTTTTGAAAACCAGCCGAAAATATCGATTTTTCTCAAAGCTTTCGAATTTTGGGCCAGTTTTTTGCCCGTTTTTTGCATATTTTTGGCTATTTTTTCATCCGGTTTTCGTCCGTTTTTCGTCCGTTTTTCGAGTATTTGCTGTCAGTGTTTTCTCCGTTTTTTCATCAATTTTTCGTCAATTTTTCATCCGCTTTTCGTCCGTTTTCAGCCATTTTTAAGCAATTTTTGGTCCGTTTTTTGTCTATTTTTGTCAGTTTTCTATTTTTTTTTCCCGCCATTTTCTGTCACTTGGTCCGTTTCTCGTGCGTTTTTGGTCCGTTTTTTGTCTGTCTTCCTCTTTTTTGTAGGTTTTTTGTCCGTTTTTTTTCCGTTTTTTGTCCGTTTTTCGTCCAGTTTTTGTCGATTTTTTGTCCGTTTTTCAACAATTTTTCGTCAATTTTCCGTCATTTTTTTGGCCGTATTCAGCCATTTTTTGTCCGTTTTTGGTCCGTTTCTCAGTAATTTTCGCTCCGTTTTCAGTCATTTTTTCAGCAATTTCTGGTTTGTTTCTCACCCCGAATTTCCTTTTTTTTCAGCCATGAGTGCTCCAAAAAGAGCCGCTAAAGACCCGCCAGATGGACCAGACGCCAAGAAGTCTATGGACTTTTCTGACGCCGATCCGGCTCTCTTTGATGGAATGGTCCAAGTTGAGTGCCAAAAATTCTAAGTTAACAAATCTGTGAGTTTTTAGCAAATATTTTCAGAAATTTTGAAAATTTCAGACTAAAGTAAGGCTTCCATTCGGTCGGGAAATTTAGCCCACCGACCGACCACCGACCCAGCCGACCGACAGCCGACCGTTTTCGTGCATTTGCGCGTCAACGTGTTTGCATACGCTGCATTGTATTTTACGACAAACTACTAACTAAAAGCCTCGGTTGTCGTGAAATATAGTGCTTCGTACGCAAAAATTTGTGTTTTTATGCCCAAAGGCACGAAATCGGTCAGCTCGGTTGGCTGTCGGTCGGCTGGGCAGAAATTCAGAAATTCAGAAATTCAGAAATTCAGAAATTCAGAAATTCAGAAATTCAGAAATTCAGAAATTCAGAAATTCAGAAATTCAGAAATTCAGAAATTCAGAAATTCAGAAATTCAGAAATTCAGAAATTCAGAAATTCAGAAATTCAGAAATTCAGAAATTCAGAAATTCAGAAATTCAGAAATTCAGAAATTCAGAAATTCAGAAATTCAGAAATTCAGAAATTCAGAAATTCAGAAATTCAGAAATTCAGAAATTCAGAAATTCAGAAATTCAGAAATTCAGAAATTCAGAAATTCAGAAATTCAGAAATTCAGAAATTCAGAAAATCAGAAATTCAGAAAGGCGATTTGGCGGTCGGCGATTTTCGACCGACCGAAATGGAAGCCTTAGACTAAAGGAGCTTATTAGGCTAATTTCACCCAAATTTCAACTTAAAAACCTTGATTTTTCAGCACCTGGCTCGTCATTCGCCATTCTTCCGGACATTGTTTTTTGAGGGATTCGAAGAATCCAAAAAAGACGTCGTGAAGCTCAAGGATGTCACCGCTGAGGCCTTCCAGCTCTTCCTGGAGCTCGTAAATGGCCTCAATGGTAGGGGTTCTTAGCCATTTTGCCTCAAAAATCCCAAATTTTACAGATGACAACATTGAAGGAATTACAATGGCTGCCGCTATGTGGCAAGCTGAAATTCCTCTGGGAAAATGTCTGAAATTCATTGCACAACATTCGAAACTTGCCAAAAAGGACAAACTTGTGCTTGCCGAAGGAGAGACTCTTGGCTAGAGTGCAAAGAAACGAGACAGACTGCGTCTCTGACCCTAAAAATTGTCAAATTTCAATAATTGTTGCATCTAAAAGCATGGTGGTGCAAAGTTGAAGCATTTTACGCTAGGAATCACTATTCTAGCTGCTCTAGGAGCTGAGATATGGTTATTTGAAGCTCAAGTATCTAGAGACGTAGACAGCAAGACACTCTGACTGCCTGCGTCTCTCATTGAACACTATCTAATGAGTTTGAGTTATTTTGTGACAAAAATCACTTTTCTAGCTACACTGGGAGCCAAGATATGACTCTTTGAAGTCTGGAAGAGACGCAGACAAATAGAGTGTCTAGCTGTCTGCATCTCTAGTCTTCTGGAACTTCCAATGGCCATATCTCGGCTTCTGGTACAGCTAGAAAAGTGATTTTTGGCTCAAAACGTTAGAAATTCTTCCCTAAAAGTTTTTTACGCCAAACAATCACTTTTCTAGACTCTCTAGGAATCAAGATATGGCTTTTTAAAGTTCCGAAAGGCTAGAGACGCAAACAGCGAGACACTCTAACTGTCTGCGTCTCTCCCAGACTTCAAAGAGCCATATCTTGGCTCCCGGTTTAGCTAGAAAAGTGGTTTTTGGCCCAAAATGTTTCAAATTCAATAGATTTCATTTAGTAAGAGACAGAGACAATCAGAGTGTCTCGCCGTCTGCGTCTCCAGCCTACTGAACATCAATTAGTCATATCTCGGCTTCTAGGAAGGCTAGAAAAATGATTTTAATCGCGAAACTTTGGAAATTGGCTGGGTTTCATTTTCTATTTAAAATATTTTTTTTTTCCAGAATTCTCTCTTTGATGACGTCAAGTCGGTTGCCGACATGGAAGATCTTCTTCCGGATATGGAAATCACTAATTTTAAGCCGGATACCATCACACTGATCGCCAAAAAGTTGATGAAAATCAATGGAATTTAACGTCCGATTCCGGCTGCTTCAGTTGCTCAACCAGCAGAATTCCAGTTACGCCTCAGCAAAATGCTCAAGAGGTTATTGGGGGCTCTACAACAAGAGATACTCGATAGGGATCGAGAAGAAGGAAATTATCGAAGAGAAACACGAAGACGTGTACAGGATTTAGTTAATGCAGAGGTTTTTCAGCCGTTTTTGTCCTTTTTTTGTCCGTTTTTCGTCCAGTTTTTGTCGATTTTTTGTCCGTTTTTCAACAATTTTTCGTCAATTTTCCGTCATTTTTTTGGCCGTATTCAGCCATTTTTTGTCCGTTTTTGGTCCGTTTCTCAGTAATTTTCGGTCCGTTTTCAGTCATTTTTTCAGCAATTTCTGGTTTGTTTCTCACCCCGAATTTCCTTTTTTTCAGCCATGAGTGCTCCAAAAAGAGCCGCTAAAGACCCGTCAGATGGACCAGACGCCAAGAAGTCTATGGACTTTTCTGACGCCGATCCGGCTCTCTTTGATGGAATGGTCCAAGTTGAGTGCCAAAAATTCTATGTTAACAAATCTGTGAGTTTTTAGCAAATATTTTCAGAAATTTTGAAAATATAAAGGCGAGAAATTAGACGACAATTCCAGTTGAATGTGGCTAGAAATAATTGAATTTTTTCTCATTTCTTGACTATTCTCGAACATTCTAAAAATTCTTTTTTTAATACTGTAAACACTCTGATAGAACGCCGCCGAATCGTTGACTTTGAGTCCATGTATCTCGTTTTCTGTGAATAATATCAAAAAGTGATCAGTTGATAAAATGTTGATGATATCATGATAAACATTTTATCAGTTGACCACTTTTTGATATCTCTCACAGAAAATGAGATACATGGGCTCAAATTCGACGATTCGGGTGGCGTTCTATTAGAGTGTTTACGGTATTTCCAAAAGTTGTGAAGATTCTGAATAAGTTTTGAAATTTTATTTTTGTAATTGTTTTCTATTATTGTGCCGAATTTTCTTCTTTTTCTTGGTGTTTCAATGCTCACTTACCTTTTATTTTTGAAGATAAAAATTCAAAATGTTGCCTTTTTTTTCTTTTTTCCATTTTTCACCTACTTGGTACTAAACCAGTTGGACCTATCTTTCTATACCAATTTTTATTGAATTTTTCGAAATTTCAACTGACTTTTGACCTAATTATCTAGTACTTCAGATAAATGAAGCCAGCTAAAAAGAGAGTCAGATGGGCTGAGCAAATCGAGGAGGAATCTAAGGATTCTGAAGAGACGCCACCTAAAAAAGCATTTGATTTCTCTGAAGGCATCGATTCAGAGCTCTATGGTGGAGTCCTTCAAGTTGAGGGGCGTCTTTTTCATGTTATGAAGGGGTGAGTTGCTTTTTTGGCTTTTTAAAGAATACAAAATTCTGAAATTCTGAAATTCTGAAATCCAATAATTCCGAAAAAAAAATCCAAATTCTCCTATTTTCAGCACCTTGCTCGTCATTCGGATTACTTTAAAAATCTGTTTTTCAAAAATTATGCGGATTCAAAAAAGAAGATTATCCCACTGGAAGACGTCGTTCCAGCCGACGCTTTTCAGCATTTTCTGGAGCTGATCAGTGGAGGAAACAGATTGAATGGTGAGGCGGCGGGAAATTTAAAATTTTCAGAAAAAAATCTGAAAAATCCAGATGACGTCATCGAGGAAGTGCTGAAAATCTCTCAAATGTGGTTCGCCGAAGTTCCGATGGAAAAAGCCAAAGAATACTTGTTGAAAAGTTCAAACTTGGTGCCAATGGAAAAACTGATAATTGCAGAAAAGTACAATTTCAGCGATTTAAAGGTGAGCGATTCCGAAAATTCCAAAGATTCCGAAAATTGAGACAATGAGAAAGTCAGGAATTCAAAACTCAGAAAATCAGAAATTGAGGAATGGAGAAATTCGGAAATTCAGAAATTCAGAAATTCGGAAATTCAGAAATTCCTGGAAATTCAGAAATTCAGAAATTCAGAAATGCAGAAGTTCAGAAATTCCGAATTTCAGAAATGGAGAAATTCAGAAATTGAGGATCGGAGAAATTCAGAAGTTCAGAAATTCAGAAACTTGAAATTCGGTTTTGTAAAAAATTCGAAACTTTCCAAAATTCCAAAAAGTCGAAAATTCTGAATATTCCGATATTCCAGAAGAATCCAATATTTTTTCAACTTTTCTGGAATAGTCAGAAATTCATCACTTTTCTAGCTATCATAGAAGCCAACATGTGGCTGTTTGAAGTTTAGAAGAGACGCAGACAGACAGTGTGTCTCTCTGTCTGCGTCTCCAGCCTTCTAAGACTCGAAATAGCGATATCTTGCCTCCTCGAATAGCTAGAAAAGTGATTTTTGCCACAAAATGGCTATAATTTCAGAATGCCCTATTTGCCAATGTCCATACCGTTGCGGATATGAATGCTCTGCTTCCAAACCAAGATGTATCTGATTTCGAGCCGGATACAACTACCTTAATTGCAGAAGAAGCTGTACGTGAACGATTGAGAATTGGCAGAATAAGACAAGGACTGGAACATCGTTTACATGAAGCACGTGCAGAAATGGAAGAATTGAGACAACGATTGAATCGAAACTAATTTTCTGCTCTTTTTTTTTGTTTCTCAATTTCAACGAAAATCCAGGTCATCATCTGAATTTCGAGTTTTCGAATTTTGCGAAGTTTTGGATTTTTTCGGATTTTTTTGACATTTGATTTCTATGCTATTTTTTCTAATTGTGCCTTCAATTTTCCAATTTTTCCCCGTTGTTTTCAATGCTTTTCAAATGTGTTTTTTATATAAAAATTCAAATTTTATCCTTTTTTTCCATTTTTTCCATATTGGTTCTCAACCAATTGGAACTATCTTTTCTATACCAATTTTTCTTGAATTTTTCAAATTTTTAGCTCATTTTCGACCTTATTCTCTAGTTTTTCAGATATTTATGGCTTCAAAACGCTCAGCAAATCAGATGGAGGATGGTTCCAGTAATTCAGATGAGACACCATCTAAAAAATCCTTTGATTTCTCTGAAGGCATCGATTCAGAGCTCTATGATGGAGTTCTTCAAGTTGAGGGGCGTCTTTTTCATGTTATGAAGGGGGTGAGTACTTTTTTTTTTATTCAGCAATCCAACATTCTGAAATTCTGAAATTCCAGAATCCGAAAATTCGAAAATGCAGAAATTCAGAAATTCAAGAATTTCAAAAACATCCAAATTCTCCTATTTTCAGCACCTCGCTCGTCACTCCGACTACTTCAAAAATCTTTTTTTCAAAAATTATGCGGATTCAAAAAAGGATATCATCCCACTGGAAGAAGTCGTTCCAGCTGATGCTTTTCAGCATTTTCTGGAACTAACCAGCGGAGGAAACAGATTGAACGGTGAGGCGGCGGGAAATATTGAAATTAAAAAAAAAATCTGAAAAATCCAGATGACGTCATCGAAGGAGTCCTGAGAATTTCTCAGATGTGGTTCGCAGAAGTTCCATTAGAGAAGGCAAAGGACTATTTGTTGAAAAATTCAAAATTGGCGCCAATGGAAAAGTTCGCTATTGCTGAAAAGTATAATTTCAGCGACTTGAAGGTAAGGGATTCAAAATTCTAAGTAAAAAAATTCGAAAAATTGCAAAAAAATCACTTTTCTAGCAGTTTTAAGTTTAGACGGCTAGAGACGCAGACAACGAAACATTCTAACTGTCTGCGTCTCTTAAAAACTTCAAACTGCCATATCTTTGCTCCTAGGATGGCTAGAAATGTGATTTTTGTCACAAATTAATTCAAATTTACTAGATTATATTCGATGAGAGACGCAGACAGTTAGAGTGTCTCGTTGTTTGCGTCTCTAGCCTTCCAAACTTTGAACAGTTATATCTCGGCTTCTAGGATGGCTAAAGAAGTGATTTTTGGCGCAAAATCTTGAAAATTGTTTGGTCTTTATTTTCGACTCAAAAATCGCGGAAGTTCATTTTTTCAGACTGCTCTGTTTGCCACTGTCCAAACCGTCGCGGATATGAATTCTCTGCTTCCAAACCAAGAAGTCTCTGATTTCGAGCCGGACACAATCACCTTGATTGCAAAAAGGCTTCTCGAAATTTCTGGAATCCCCCGGCCGATTCCAGTTGCTCCAGTTGCTCAAGCACCGGACGAAATACCAGTTGCTCCAGTGCCAAATGCAAGAGATGATTTTTTACCTGCAACAGCGACTCCAAATGGCTCGAGAAGAAGCTGTACGTGAACGAAGGAGATTTGACTTCGAAAGACAAGAACTGAGAGAGCGTTCAGAAGTAGCACGTGCAGAAATGGAAGAATTGAGACAACAATTGAATAGAAACTGATTTTCCCGCTCATTTTTTGTCTTTTTTCTCTCAATTTGAACGAAAATCCAGTTCAGAATCTGAATTTCGAGTTTTTGAATTTCGGGGAATTTTGGATATTTCGGGATTTTTTGGCATAAATTGAAAATATTCTATTTTGAAAATTGGTTTCGATATTTTTTTCAGAAATTCAGAAATTCAGAAATTCAGAAATTCAGAAATTCAGAAATTCAGAAATTCAGAAATTCAGAAATTCAGAAGTTCAGAAATTCAGAAATTCAGAAATTCAGAAATTCACAAATTCAGATATTCAGAAATTCAGAAATTCAGAAATTCACAAATTCACAAATTCAGAAATTCAGAAATTCAGAAATTCAGAAATTCAGAAATTCAGACATCCAGATATTCAGAAATTTAGAAATTCAGAAATTCAGAAATTCAGAAATTCAGAAATTCAGAAATTCCGAAATTCAGAAATTCAGAAATTCAGAAATTCAAAATTTCAGAATTTCAGAAATTCAGAATTTCAGAATTTCAGAATTTCAGAAATTCAGAAATTCAGAAATTCAGAAATTCAGAAATTCAGAAACTCAGAAATTCAGAAATTCAGAAAATCAGAAATTTAGAAATTCAGAAATTCAGAAATTCAGAAATTCAGAAATTCAGAAATCCAGATATTCAAAAATTCAGAAATTCAGAAATTCAGAAATTCAGAATTTCAGAATTTCAGAATTTCAGAAATTCAGATATTCAGAAATTCCTATTTGCGATCAAAATTCAAATAAAAATTTCAATAAAATAATTTTATTCAACAGTTGTTGTCGATGATCGCATTCTCTCCCACTGCTGACGTCCTCGTTGAGTCATCATCGAAGCCGTCTCCTCAGCACGAGCAGACAATTGACCTTTAGGAACTGGCCACGTTTCATGACACTTGTTCGCCGGTGGTCCATTGAGTTTACAGTTGCCTGGTGCATCTACCCTCCAACCCCTTCTAAAGGTTCCCTTTAACCACGCAACGACACTCCGCTATCCCGCTCGGCGCGCGCACAGTTTAAATTTAGTTTTGAGTGATTGCGAGCTTGGATTTGACTCGTGGTTGTTCTAGAGACTCGTTTAAGGATTTTAAGTGAGTTTGCTTAAATTCTAAGGTTTTATTTGTTGTTTCTTTCTAACTTGTTCATAATAAACCGATTTTGTTACATTTCTTGTTGATTTTCTTCTATTTCATCACAGGAACCTGATACCCCGGACATACCGCGGGCAATTTGGGGGCCGAACCGTTTTTTTATTCGTTTATCCGTTCTTTCACATCTTTTTCGGTGTTTTTTTGCATCAATTCTCTCCAGAGTTTGAAGGATCCAGTGAGAGTCAGCCTCTTTTAGAATCTTTTTTGCTCTTTTTCAGTTTCTGGCAATTCCACGTGGCCATCTCTCATGAAATTCAGAATCAGACGAAAATGGGTGGGGTCTCTATCGATGAAGAAGGCGCCGGACTCGTCGAACATAGCCTAAAAAATCGATTATCGATTATCGATTTTTTTAGCACCACCCCCAACCTTGCTAGTAGCCTTCAACATTTGCTTGAAAAAACCATCGGATTTTTTCATCGTAGATCTGAAAGTTTTGAAAACATAGCCGCCTACATCGATTTTTACAATTTCGTCAAGCATTTTGCTGGAAATAATCAATGTTTTTGTTTGAAATTTGAAATTTCAGCGAAAAATACAAGGAAAATCATGAATTACTTGGGTTACTGTAGTTTTAAAGGCGCAAACACCGAAAATAGCTTGAAAATCGAAAAAATACACTGAAAAATCGAATTTTCTTCATTTTCTTCCTAGAATTAGTCGAAAAACGACCGGAAATGACTGAAAATCGATTGAAAAAAATCTGAAAATCATAGAAATCAGAATTCGGAACGAGCATGCGCTTTTAACTTTTTACAGTAATCCAAAGTTATTTTGAGCGATTTTCAGCGTATTTTTCTGCTACTTTCGATGAAAATCCGATGAAAACTGATGAAATACAGCTTTTAAATGTTTTCAACACTTATTTTTTGCCGAAAAAACCGGCAAAAAAAGGTTTTCTTCAAAATTCGCGAATTTCCAGTAGTTTTTCATGCATGCACCTTTAAATTTCTACAGTAACCAATAAAATTTTTAGACGATTTTCGAGTATTTTCCTGTTCGTTTTCGTCGAAAATCAAAAAAGCTTTAGAGAAAAATCAGATTTCCGATAGTTAACACTAATTTTTGCTCAAAAATCGCCGAAATGTTCCAGAAAACAAGTTTTTAGGAGAATTTCGCGAATGTCGGATTATTTTTTCAGACATGCACCTTTAATTCCACAGTAACCCAAACTTAGAGTGAGCAATACTTTTTGACTCGATTTTCGCCCGTTTTTTTTGTAAATTTTTGCATTTTTCAGGTAACAAAATGGCCCATATCATCAAGCTGAATGTCGGAGGCTCTCTTTTTCAAACTTCGAAATCCACGCTCACAAAATTCGACGGATTCTTCAAAACGATGTTGGAGACTGAAATTCCGGTAAAATTTTAAACTTCAAAAAAACAATAAAATTATATTTTCCAGGTTGCCAAAGACGAGTCCGGAGCGATTTTCATCGATCGCGACCCCAAACACTTCCGCGTGATCCTCAATTTCATGAGAGGTGGCCACGTGGATCTTCAGAAGTATTCAGAAGACGTCACTGAAATTCAGAAGGAAGCTAAGTACTATTTGTTGGGTGGACTAGTGGAACTGTGCAAGCTGAAGCCAGAAGCTCAGAAAATGCCATATTTTGCGGAGACTTTTGAGGATATGGCCAGAACTGTTGCTAGTAGCACTAAGAAGGTAATTTTTGAGAATTTCCTCCTGTTCAAAATTTTCCTGATTCAGGTAGTATGCACAGTATTTTTTGGAACTGCATTCCGGTGTGTTTATCGTAAATGTTTTATCAAAGCTGTCATGCTCTACGGAGATAAAGTCGATTTTTGTTTCAGTAAGTGTTTGGCTTTGATCGAGCAATGATATTTTTGCATTCAGGAGAACAAGCGGTAGAAAGTACCAGAATCATTATACACAAAAAAATGACCAACCGGGTCTTCGACGAAAATCCTGGTTTTGTTTTTGATTTTGACATCATCAAAAAACGCATTCCTGATATTGATAATTATTAATTTTTTATGTCGACTGCTGGATTTCTTTGTTAATTTACAGCTGAATAAACTGTTTTTATTGTTATAAATCTACCCATTATTGAGCTGAAAAGCGAGACCATCCAGAAAAATCGAAATTTCTTTTTTTTTTAAATTTATGTCTCCTTGAACATTAGCGATAATGCCGATAAACAAATTGATTCATAAGTTGGAAAGCTTTGGGATATCTCCCAAACTAAGAAATTGGCTTCATTCATTTGTCACGGACAGAAAATTTCAAGTCAAAATCAATGATATACTATCGAAGGAGAGGCGCGTATTGTCCGGAGTCCCGCAGGGCTCTGTTCTTGGGCCTACCCTCTTCTTGTTATATATTAATTGTATTGGTGACAAATTTCAAAGTGACTATCTACTGTTTGCAGATGACTTGAAAATTTATGATACGAATGGTAGATTGATTGATGCAGAATTAATTGAATTGGAGAATTGGTGCTCGAAGTGGAAAATGAAAATTTTTATAACTTTTTTTTTTAACTCAGCCCCTGAAAATTTTTTTCAATATGATTCCTGTCTTCCCGACCATTTTTTTTTGGTTTTTATCAGTCTTGACATCATAAACACACAATTTCCTATCTTATTCTCTCTCTCTCTCTCTCTCTCTCTCTCTCTCTCTCTCTTTTTCTGAATTTTCAAGTTGTTCGAATTTCGAAAATTTGGATTTTTAGAGATTTGAAAATCCCAAGGTTTTGGGAAATTCGAATTATTAGAAACTCGAAAATCCAAAACTTCAAAATTCAAAAATCCAGAATTTCGAAAAATTCTATTTTTGGAAAATCTGAAAAAATCCAAGAATGCCTGAAATTCGGCGAATCACAATAGTACTACAGTAACCTTACTAACTAGCATAGCCCCCATAGTTTGTAGTAAGGATACTGTCCCTAGGTACAGTATTCCTAGTTTCCTGTAACTTCTTCCTGTAACTTCTTCTACAACTCTCTCTCTCTCTCTCTCTCTCTCTCTCTCTCTCTCTCTCTCTCTCTCTGTCTCTGTCTCTGTCTCTGTCTCTGTCTCTGTCTCTGTCTCTCTCTCTCTCTCCCTGTTACGTAACTCCAAAGAATAACAAGAGAAATAGTATGTAAGCTAGAAGAGACGGTAGAGAAACGAGAGAATTTTTTTGGTTGAAAAAAAATCAGTGATAAGGATGGGAAGAAGAAGAGTTGGGGAGTTGAAAACCAGTTTTTCAATTTTTTCAAAAAATTTTGTTGAGGTAGTTGTTAATCGATGGAAATTCCTAAAATTCTGAGTTTCAGATTTTTTGAGATATACCGTAAAACCTGTATTAGAAGGGCCCTCCAGAGGTACCTTGGAACAATAGAAGGACCGGCTTTCTGAAATTCAACAATTTCAGATTTTATAATTTCAAAATAACTGAAATTCCAAACTTTTTGTGATCTTGAAATTTTCGGAATTTTCAAGTTGTTCGAATTTCGAAAATTTGGATTTTTAGAGATTTGAAAATCCCAAGGTTTTGGGAAATTCGAATTATTGGAAACTCGAAAATCCAAAACTTCAAAATTCAAAAATCCAGAATTTCGAAAAATTCTATTTTTGGAAAATCTCAAAAAATCCAAGAATGCCTGAAATTCGGCGATTTTCAGGAACTCTAGTCTCCAAAAGTTTTCTGAAGAATCCATCGAATTTTGTCAATGTGGGTTTTGTAGTTTTGAAAACCGTACCAGCCACATCTAGTCTTATTACATTGGTCATTATGCTATCTGAAAAGTGTCGAGAAAAATTGAGCCGAAATGGGCAGAAACAAATGGAAAAAAATAAGACAGGCCAATAAGTGGTCTTGACATTTTTATCAACCTTATCTTATCTGTATTCTGATGACAGTTTTAGATTGTCAACATGGTGCATCGATAAATTTGTTTACGAATTTCCGGGGATTAAACATCATTTTCACTCAATTTTATTATGATTTTCGGATTCAGCACAAAATTCCACATCGAAATGACCTACTTACCGATTTTTGAATTTTTGGCTCAACTGGGTAGAGAAGTGACTGGCAATCTAGAGGTCAGGGGTTCGAACCCCACCAGGGTCAAATTTTTTGTTTTTCTTTTTGAAGTATTTTTAGGTGTTCTAGAGGGTCTGGGAACCAAAAATAAGATGTTTTGAGACCGCCAACATGGTGCATCGACAATTTTTTTTTTCGAATTTGTTGTGATTAAAAAATGAGCAACATTTTAATTTCAGCAACAAAAATTATGAAAAATCAAAAAATAAATATATAAATAGGATAACACCGATGAAAAAAAAAATAGAATTTGAAAGAAATTATCCGGAATCGACATAACACAAAAGATAAAAACCCAAATACAAATCGCTTGAAGTCCCAAGGTCTTGAACGGAAAAAATCGTTCAATCTCGTTTTTTTTCCGTCATTTTTAAGTGGTGGCCTAACTTTCAAAAATTTGGTTTTCTAGGTCACCACTTCCAAATAACCTAGAATTGGTCCGATATTCACCTGGAGTGCTTTCTGGGTTGTTTGAAAGTGGTGGCCTAATTTTTGCAAATTTGATTTTCGAAGCCACCACGTCGAAATGGCCTAGAATTGGTCAGATATTTACCTGGTATGCTTTCTAGGTCATTTCGAAGTGGTGTCCTAACTTTTGCAAGTTGGGTTTTCTAGGCCACCACTTCAAAATTACCTAGAAAACACAACAGGTGCATTTTAGGTCATTTCTAGGTCATTTTTAAGTGGTGGCCTATTAATTTATTTTCTTTGGACTTCGGCTGCTGTGACTTGCCTACTAGCTACCAGAGATGAGCGGAAGAGATTTACGGAAATTTACGGAAGATGGTTTATTTTCAAAATGAAAAATGCTACCAAAAAGCTGTCAACAGACAAAATGTAGATCTCAATGAGAGCTATCGATTGGCATAAAAATTGTTTTGAAATTTTGTTGGATTATTTAAATAGAGTCTTTCTTCCGTCTTTCGTTTTCCTTGTGCCAGACGGAAGACGGAACACGGAAGAAACGCCATATCTCAACTCCCCATCAATATTACATTTTGACTCGATTTTTGCCCGATTTTTTGTAAATGTTCGCATTTTTCAGGTAACAAAATGGCCCATATCATCAAGCTAAATGTCGGAGGCTCTCTTTTTCAAACTTCGAAATCCACGCTCACAAAATTCGACGGATTCTTCAAAACGATGTTGGAGACTGAAATTCCGGTAAAATTTTAAACTTCAAAAAAACAATAAAATTATATTTTCCAGGTTGCCAAAGACGAGTCCGGAGCGATTTTCATCGATCGCGACCCCAAACACTTCCGCGTGATCCTCAATTTCATGAGAGACGGCGACGTGGCACTTCCAGAAGCTCCTGTAGACGTCACTGAAATTCAGAAGGAAGCTGAGTACTATTTGTTGGGTGGACTAGTGGAACTCTGTAAGCCGAAGCTAGAAGCTCAGAAAATGCCATATTTTGCGGAGACTTATGAGGATATGGCCAGAGCTGTTTCTACAACTATCATGAAAACTCAGCAAAAATTAAGAGATACTGAAAAAAGGAGCGGCGGGGGTTTTCAAAGAATGAGTCGGAAACGGATCCGTTACGGATTCGCGTACGGTCCGTATACGATTCCTATTTCATCCGCGCGCGAATGGCGGAGAATCCGTAACGGATTGTTCGCGAATCACCTGTGTTTCCAACAAAAACATTGATTATTTCCAGCAAAATGCTCGACGAAATTGTAAAAATCGATGTAGGCGGCTATGTTTTCAAAACTTTAAGATCTACGTTGAAAAAATCCGACGGTTTTTTCAAGCAAATGTTGAAGGCTACTAGCAAGGTTGGGGGTGGTGCTAAAAAAATCGATAATCGGTAATCGATTTTTTAGGCTATGTTCGACGAGTCCCTTAGTATTCGGAACTTTATTAAGAAAACATATAAGAAACAACAATCAAACGTACAAGAAAGTTCAAGAAACTATGAAAATCTTTTTTTTTTGTTTAACGACCAACCGGAACCAGAGCAATCTGAAAAAAAAATTGGGAAATTTTCCGAAAATGCAGCATACTGTGAAATTTGAAATTTCAGCGAAAAATACAAGAAAAATCATGAATTACTTGGGTTACTGTAGTTTTAAAGGCGCAGACACCGAAAATAGCTTGAAAATCGAAAAAATACACTGAAAAATCGAATTTCCTTTATTTTCTTCCTAGAATTAGTCGAAAAACGACCGGAAATGACTGAAAATCGATTGAAAAAAATCTGAAAATCATAGAAATCAGAATTCGGAACGAGCATGCGCCTTTAACTTTCTACAGTAATCCAAAGTTATTTTGAGCGATTTTCAGCGTTTTTTTCTGCTACTTTCGATGAAAATCCGATGAAAACTGATGAAATACAGCTTTTAAATGTTTTCAACACTTATTTTTGCCTGAAAACCGGCAAAAAAGGTTTTCTTCAAAATTCGCGAATTTCCAGTAGTTTTTCATGCATGCACCTTTAAATTTCTACAGTAACCAATAAGATTTTTAGATGATTTTCGAGTATTTTTTTTTTCGAAATGAGCAGTGGCTCCTCTTCTGATATTCGAAAAAGGCTAGAGAGTCTCAGACCTCGAAGAAAAGAAGGCCTCGAACTTTTTCAATGCTCTTCTAATTTCAAAACTCATCCATTAAATTCGCCATCCTATCAACCTTCAAGTCCACATCGAAATCCACTTAAACGGTGCCAGCAAGAGAATCTGCCAAAATGCGAACAGAAGCGCAGGAGAAGCTTCGATTCGCCCTTATCAATGTCCACACCACCTCCAACGCCTTCTTCTTCCTCCTCTTTTTCCTTTAACCGTGCGTCGATTCCGATACTTCCCCATGACTTGATGGAACAACTCAGCCGAGAGCTGACTTGTAGTGTTCTAAATGCAGCAGCTGCAATATCCACAAATGCAGAAGAGTACACATATAACGTCAGCTTTATGTTACTGCAGTGCATGAACGATGGTAAATTTTTCTTTAACTTGTAATAAAAATGCAAGAGAACACCAATTCCCGTTTAGTTCCTCTGCTGTAATGTATGTCCATTGTTTTACTACATCTATATCATCCCGTCTACTGTGTCCGCCGCGGTTTCCTTTATCACTGTTTATACGAAATTTCTAGTTTTAGAAACGATTTCGAGAATGTGAATTCTCGATTCCAGACCTACTAGGCGATATATATCGATGGCATCACAACACTTTGCTCGTGTTTGTGCTTCACAAACATATCTTTTTTTTCCGCATCACACCAAACGGCGTCAGCATGCGGAAAACAAATATCTGTTTATTTTTCCGGACATTGCATTGCGCACAAGCAGTGCTAGAGGAGCACAATGTAAAAAAACGGAAAAGAATAGCTTTTACACATATGATCCCTGAAATGAACGCAACTTTGAAACATTTCGGTTAAAGTGGATGGCAGAGTATTTTGTTGAGATGGAGTTTGTCAAACAATTGAATTAAAACTAAAAAATGATAATAATTGTAATCAAGGCACCAATATATCAACCTATTAATTTCAGTGTCGCCATCATCGGAAGCATGCTCCACAAGTTCGTCGGCATATCAACGCGGTGCCAATAGTTCTGCCAATTCTTCATCATTAGCGTCGGAATCACATCATCACTCTGGCTCCTCGTCATCACGGCCTGTAACACTAACGCGTGAAAGAAAAACGTATGCAGCAGCTGCCGGAAGATCAGCGCCTATGCGCAGTTGTCTCCAGCTCATCCGAGTGCAGTGGTCAGTTTTTTAAAAAAATATTTTATCTAGAGTTTCAAAACAAACTGTCACTGAATTGCACCGAAATGTTTTCGATAACTTATCGGTCAGAAACAAAACAACAAAAGGGTACAATATTTTTCCCTCTCATTATTCGTTCATTTGTGACGATAAGGATGGAAAAAAACGAATTGGGGATGATGGTGTGTATGTGCTGGCCGCCTGATATTGATAAGGGGAACTTGTTTTTGAGACTGAGACCCTAGCAGCATTGTCAGTATGCCTGCCTTACATGGTGGTTCTATTTTTTTTCACGCCGATGAGATATCATCCATCTCATCGATTAATCAGTGCCAAGAACATTGGCATAATTTTACTCATGCCACTAATAATGCCAATTTTCAGATGAGCGGTATGGACGATCTATTGCGGCCGGAACGATTTGACCGTATAATGCACATGTCTCCGCCTGCCCAATACATTCAAGAGCAACACTCGTGGAATCCCGAAGATCGATCGTTGAATATTTTTGTTAAAGATAAAGACAAATTCACATTCCATCGTAATCCAGTCGCACAGAGCACCGATTGTATTCGTGGAAAAATAGGCTACAGCCGCGGGTTCCATGTATGGCAGATCGAGTGGCCAGAACGTCAACGAGGAACACATGCTGTTGTTGGGGTTGCGACGAAAACAGCACCATTGCACGCGACTGGTTACACGGCGTTGATAGGAACAACGAACGAAAGTTACGGATGGGATATCAGTGAGTTTTTGATCAGAAATTGTTCTGAAACATTAGATTTTTCCAGCACGACGAGAATGCCATCATGATTCAAAGAACACCATGACGTGGAGGTATCCATTCAGTAATAGCCGCGAAGTGTATCATGTTCCAGACAAGGTAAAAATTATCTTCTTAATTCAAATCTTTTTTTTCAAATTTTCAGTTCTACTGTATTCTGGACATGGATGAAGGATATATGGCATTCGCCACTGATGACGAATTCCTCGGAGTTGCATTCAGGAACTTGAAAGGAAAGACGTTATACCCAATAGTGGCTGCCGTATGGGGACACTGCGAAATCAGCATGCGCTATCTTGGATCTCTTGAACGTGAGCTTATTTCTTTCGATTCTCCACCATCAACTCCACGACGTCAACCACTGAGACCACCACTTCCACACCACCACAGCAGTCGCTATCCCTCCCCGCCACGTTCACTTTTTCATTCGCCAGTTTATAAACCCCCGCCTAGAAGTAGACATCCTTCTGATTCACCTGCTGCACTAAGAGCAGCCGCTGCGGAATCACCCGCTCTACCGTTCTCCCCCTTTTCCGATCTTGCAAAAATATTCTCATTTTACGACCTACAGGCTGGTGGAACATCAAGCTCTTCTAGTTCATATTCCCTTTTTGAACCACCAGCCGAATGGCAGAAATTCGACGAGGAGTGTGTTAGTAATGACTCTCCACGACGTAATCCTTCTCTAGATGTCCCACTTCTGTTGGATGAGACTCCCAGCGCATCTTCCTCACCATATCTCTATCTTCCGGCCCCACCATCAGTTAAAGCACCAAGTGAACTTTTTGGCCCGCCATTAACACCGGGTGGCTCGAAAATGCAAACTGATGAGCAAGGTCTCGGAACATCTTTTTTATAGGGGTCCTAATCATTTTTATGAATCAGACTTTTGACGAACTAGTTCAACTATTTTAGGAGATGTAACTCGACTAAAACGTAAACAACAACAACAACTTTGAAATGAGCAATATACTGTTTTTAGCTTTTACCATTTTTACTTAAGCCTAGAACATTGAGGAAAAATTCGCAGCTCCTCCGTTAAAACTATTGCCATTACTGAAATAGGCTTAGGCTTCCAGGAAAGAAATCTGCAAATTCAGAAGAAATTCTAAGTGAAAACGAAAAAAATAAATTGAAATGTTTGAAAAAATGAAAAAAACACTGCTAAAAAATTTTTGCTGGCATCAGAAAATCCGAGAATTATATTCTGAAAGCTATTTTTTGGAAATTTTCGGCAAAAAATTTTTTTTTATGGAAAATTTTTTGTGTCCTAACAACTTAAAAACATCATAGAAATAATCAGCGATCATTTTTATGTCGAAAAAAGTGATAAAATCGCGAAAAAAAGTGACCCCTTCCAACTAGTATAGCGCCAAAAAAAACATACGAATCAGTTTTATTGGAAACAAAAACAACAAAAATATTTTTTTTGAAGGAAAAAATAAAAATTTGCGGGGAAAAAATGAGAAAACAAAAATAATGCAAGCGCGCCCCATGGCTAACAGCGTTCCAATTAGGGACAGTTCGACTCCGACACAGTTCGATTCTGCTCTTGTTCTGTTTTGACACATGTTCGATTTTAGGTCTGTTCGATTTTGGAAGCGTTCGAATTCGTCGTACCCCCGGTCACACCCATATTGATGATTATTAATTTTTTATGTCGACTGCTGGATTTCTTTGTTAATTTACACCTGAATAAACTGTTTTTATTGTTATAAATCTACCCATTATTGAACTGAAAAGCGAGACCATCCAGAAAAATCGAAGTTTCTTTTTTTTTAAATTTATGTCTCCTTGAACATTAGCTGGAAAACTGTCGGAAAACAGTGAAAATTGAGGAAACCTGCTGAAAAATCAAATTCACTTGAATTTTCCGTACAGAACTCGTCAAACAACGACGAAAAATGACTCAAAAGAAAATGCTGAAAATCTCACAAAAATCCAAATTGCAAAGGAGCATGCGCCTTTAAAATTTCCACAGTAACCCATTAAATGTTTCTGTGAATTATAACGATTTTTCCTGCAACTTTTTCTATAAATTTCGATAAAAACCGGAAAGAAGCTTTTTTCTATGCTTGCGAGAAGCTATTTTCTCAAGAAAACTGCTGATAAACAGCAAAATTTCAAAAATTTCTGAGTGCATGCGCCTTTAAAATTATCTATAGTAACCCATCGGCGATAAAACTTTTTCTTCCGAATTTCGCTCAATTTTCATCGACTTTTCTCATTTTTTTCGCTTAAATTCTGAACTTTATTGATTTTCAAATAAAAATAAAGAATTTTATTCAATTTTTCCAGAATTTTCAGCCAAAAAATGGCTTCCAACGAAGAAGATCCGATTGTGAAGTTGAATGTGGGCGGAGTCACTTTTCAGACTTTAAAATCCACGTTGACAAAGCGCAAAATGATGTTTAGAGTGATGTTGGAGACGGAGATGCCGGTACGGAATCGATTTTTCAAAAAATTCGAGAAAGTTCTAGAGTTTTTGAGAACCGGCGTAATCGCGAATTTTTCGGATTTTGGAATCATCAGCAGCGTTCAAGAAAAGGCTCATCACTTTATGCTCGAAGATCTCGAGGCATACTGTAGATTTGTCGAAGCTGATAAAATGCGAATGCGGGATTTCAATTTGAAAATCCCAGAATCGGTGAAATTCGTCGAAAACTACTCGGAACTTCTGAAAATTGCCATGAAAATCAAAAAAGTGGTTGGAGCTCATAAGGGGGCGGAGCTTAAAAATATCGATTTTTTTAGCCTACTCTCGTCCTTCATGCTCCAGTGAAAAATTTCGGAAGCATTGAACTCCCAATGGAATTCGATTTTTTTCGTTTCCCGCTATACTACAAGCGCGTTTTGGACATCTACATCAGTAAGTGCGCTCCACCGGACTTTTCGCATTTGCTCGCATTAGAGCGCATTTGCAGCCTCTATACATGGTTTTAGGGGTGAAAAACGCGTGGAAATCGATTCAACAAGCAAATTCGCTCTACTGCACTTTTCAGAGCCCTACAGTACTCAGAGCGCTGTGAGACACCAGGAATGGCAATGGACGCTCTTTAAAAGAGGTTATAGTGAGGGAAATGGTCCAAGAGACCCAAGACAAACGTTCGGAGAACACTTGGAAGCCAGTATTGATGTTTTCCTGATGGATTGATCGATTATTGATTTTTTGATATAAAAATGTTTTTGTTAAATTTTGAATTTTTTGTTAATTTTTGTCAATTTTTTGTTGAATAAATTGAATAAAATATGTTTTAAAAATTGCAAACTTCAGATATACTGGCTCGGACAAAAAAAAATTGAAAAAAAATGAGTTTCTGGCAATTTTATCGATTTTTCGATTTTTAATATTATTTTTTGCATTTTAAGACATCCAAAAGTATGCAAATTCACTTTTTAACGTTTAAAACCACCTGAAACCATCGAAAAATGAGAAAAATCACATTTTAAAAAAATGTGTGCCAAATGGCTCAGTGGGATTTTTCATCAAAATTTTCGGTCCACAAGGTCAAGGGTTCGATTCCTCTTGGTACCACTTTTTTTAAAATTTTTGTGTGGACCTCAAAAATATCGATTTTTAACTCATTTGAGTTGTAAAAAGCGAATAGAGACCCGAATTTAGGATTTTTTGGATTCCCCAATTTTTTGTGATTATGTTGAACTTTCTAGGCTAAAACACAATTTTCAGCGTATATCATACAGATTTTCAGATTCAGCACAAAATTCCACATCGAAATGACCTATTTACCGATTTTTGCATTTTTGGCTCAACTGGGTAGAGGGGTGACTGACGATCTAAAGGTTAGGGGTTCAAAGCCGAGGCGGGGTCAAATTTTTTGGTCTTCTTTTTTTTGACTATTTTTAGGTGTTCTAGAGAGTCTGGGTACCAAAAATAAGATATTTTGAGGTCACCAACTAGAAAACGATACTAGCTATTTTGAGGTCCGTGGTGGCACTGTGCATCTATATAGAGAAACCTTGAATTTTCAAGGCTCAAAGACCATTTACAGCGTATTTCGTATTGATTTTCCGATTCAACACAAAATTCCACATCGAAAAGACCTATTCACCGATTTTTGCATTTTTGGCTCAATTGGGTAGAGTGGTGACTGGCGATCTAGAGGCCAGGGGTTCAAACCCCGCCGGGGGTCAAAATTTTTTATCTTCTTTTTTTGACTATTTTTTGGTGTCCTAGGGGGCCTGGGCGCAACAATAAGCTAATATAAGATCACCACCATCGACAAACGGAAATTATCTGTGCTCAAAAACCATTCAGCATGTTTAATCATGATTTTCAGAGTCAGCACCAAATTCCACATCGAAATGACGTATTTACCGATTTTCGCATTTTTGGCTCAACTGGGTAGAGGGGTGACTGACGATCTAGAGGTCAGGGGTTCGAATCCCACGGGGGTCAAAATTGTTTGTTTTTCTTTTTAGAGCAGTTTTAGGTGTTTTGCAGGGTCTGGGAACCAAAAATAAGCAGTTTTGGGATCCCCACCATGGTTCATCGACCACTGTAATTCTATATTTTTGAATTTTCTAGACTTAAAATTGATTTTCAGATAACTTCATTATGATTTTTAAATTCAGCACAAAATTCCACGCCGAAATGACGTATTTACCGATTTTCGCATTTTTGGCTCAACTGGGTAGAGGGGTGACTGACGATCTAGAGGTCAGGGGTTCGAATCCCACCGGGGTCAAAATTGTTTTTTTTTTCTTTTTAGAGTATTTTTAGATGTTTTAGAGTGTCTGGGAACCATACGTAAATGTCATTGTTCATCGCTAGATTATAATCCCCAGATTATCGTGCGTCCCCCCTCTTTTCTCTTGGGAAAGAAGAAAAAGAGGGAGTGGTGGGGAGGAAGATGGCGACATCATCTGTCTCATCATAAACAATTCCGTCACATACACGCACCCTTTTTTGTCTGGGTCTCTTTGTTTTCTCACTCTCTCGTCTGGTATGCTAAAGTCTCCCCGCTGTGTTGAAAAAGAGTGGAGGACACACAATTGTTCTGTCTGCGTCTCTTTCTCTTTTCTGTATGTGTCAGTTGACATTGAACACGCAACACCCTTCACTCTCTTCACCGGTGTAACCCACAGAACGTTTGGCACAATGCCAAAAAAGTGTCAATGGTCAAATTTTCTTAGTTTTACAACTGATTTTTGCTTATTTTATGTGGTAGTCTGTTTTTTGTGTAATTTTCACTTTTCTCAAAGCCTTTGGAATTTTTTTTCGAAAATCTCAAAACAATTTTTTTTCGAAAATCTCAAAAAAATTTTTTTTTGAAAATTTTGAAAATTTTTTCGAAAACCCCGATTTTCATTCTTATTTTCGGTTCTAATAGAGTCAAAAACACTAGAAAAAATTTCAAAAGGAAACATAAAAAATTTGACCCCAGTGGGGTTCGAACCCCTGACCTCTAGATCGCCGGTCACCACTCTACCCAGTTGAGCCAAAAATTCAAAAATCGGTAAATAGGTCATTTCGATGTGGAATTTTGTGCTGATTCTGAAAATTCTTATGAAATTGGCTGAAAATGGTTTTGAAGCGCTGAAAATTCCGGAAAAGATCTTGTGCTAACTCGATTTTTGTAACTTCACATTTTTTTCTTCTTCTTATCGTTAGAAATTTCCAGAAAAAATGCTCTCGGCTACTGTAAAGCAGGAGATTCCTCTCTGGAAACGGCCCCCACCACCTGGAGCCAACATTCCAGAGCTTCCAGAAGCGACTGGAGGCAGGAATATGGATGTCAAACAATACTTGAAAAAGTTTCGAAAAGTCAAACAGGCCAAAATTGATCAGTACGCGTTCCAAGATGAGGAGCTGGGCTATGTGGTCCTTCAAGAAATTGAAAAGGTCCCAGAAATATGGCAGACAGAGAAAATTAGCCGGAGGATCGATCCATGGGCAAAAGTTGGAGCCGCCACATTCAATAGGACGGGATCGTTGGTTAATAGTGAGTTTTTAAAGATGTGAATGGCAAAAAACCACTGAAAATGCTCTAAAAAGAAAAACAAAAGATTTTGACCCCGGTGGGGTTTGAACTCCTGACCTCTAGATCGTCAGTCACCACTCTACCCAGCTGAGCCAAAAATTCAAAAATCGGTAAATAGGTCATTTCGATGTGGAATTTTATGCTGAATCTGAAAATCTATATGATATACGCTGAAAATTGTGTTTTAGCCTAGAAAATTCAAAATTTTGCAGTTGCAACCATGACCAAAATCTTCAATCGTGGTCGGTGTCATCTTCGGGATCGGATCCGAACCAAAATTGCGTCAGCGAAAAAATTCAAAGAAGTATTTCTGGACGAAGACCTCGAAAACTACCTCTGGACATTTCCCGACTATTTTGCCCTCCGATTTTATCGAGAAATGCTTGAAAAACACGTGGGATACTGTAGAACAAGGGATTGCTTTGATGCAAATGGAGAGCCAATTTGTTTTACAATTGAAGATAGTGAGGATGAGGAAGATACGCAGGAAGTGGAGGAAGAAAATGATGATGAGCAATATTTTAAAGAAGGAGGAGAGTACGACGATATGGTTATTGAGGAACGATTGGTCTACGAGGAGGATTTGGTTGTGGGAGTTGAAGAGGTTCTTGAGGAAGTTCAAGAGGAGATGCAAGACATTTATGCTGAGCAATCCATTGAGCGGCAGAAAAATGTGCCAAGATTCCAGAGAGGGGCAGAAGATGGTCAAGCTGAGCAATTGCCAAGAAGAAGAACAGTGGATAATGGACCAGGAACTTCTGCTAGCAACCGTGGACCCCAACAAAATGCGGCAACACCGAGAAAGCCAGGTGTTTTGGTGGGTTTTTGACCTGAAAATACTTTACAAAGAAAAACAAAAAAATATAACCCCAATGGGGTTCGAACCCCTGACCTCTAAATCGTCAGTCACCCCTCTACCCAGTTGAGCCAAAAATACAAACATCGGTAAACAGGTCATTTCGACGTGGAACTTTGTTCTGAATTTGAAAATCCTAATGAAACAGGCTGAAAATGATTTTTAAGTCTAGAAAATTCAAAAATATAAAATTACAGTGGTCGATGCACCATGATGGTTATCCCAAAACTGCTTATTTTTGGCTCCCAGACCTGTAAAAAACCTGAAAATAGTCTAAAAAGAAAAACGAAAAAATTTGACCCCGGTGGGGTTCGAACCCCTGACCTCTAGATCGCCAGTCACCACTCTAACCAGTTGAGCCAGAAATGCAAAAATCGGTAAATATATCATTTCGACGTGGAATTTTGTGCTGAATTTGAAAATCATAATGAAGTTGTCTGAAAATCAATTTTACGTCTAGAAAATTCAAAAATATAGAATTACAGTGGTCGATGAACCATGGTGGTTATCCCAAAACTGCTTATTTTTGGCTCCCAGGCCTGTAAAAAACCTGAAAATAGTTTAAAAAGAAAAACGAAAAAATTTGACCCCGATGGGTTTCGAACCCCTGACCTCTAGATCGCCAGTCACCACTCTACCCAGTTGAGCCAGAAATGCAAAAATCGGTAAATAGGTCGATGTGGAATTTTGTGCTGAATCTGAAAATCATAGAAAAATGGGCTGAAAATTGATTTCAGGTTCAGAGAAACCCAGAATAAAACCACATTTCATTCAAAATTATTTTTTTTTTCAGATCAACCAAAACCAAATCCAGCTCATGCAACAGCAAATCGTAAGTCAAAATTTGAAAAATGGCGGAAAAATTCAAAATTTTGAATTTTTTTTAGAAACAACGGCAGAATCCACCAGAGGAGCGTCATGAGCCAGAAGATCATCATCTCTCACAGCAACAGGAGCGAATTCCGGTAAGATTTGGCGGGAAATTTGAAAAAAAAAGATTTTTGAAAATTCAGGAACCCCAACAGCCAATTCCAGCTCCACAAGTTCAACAAGCTCCGCCTCCGGAAAATGTGCAGGTAGTCATTTAATTTTTGAAAATTTAATATTTCGAAATTTCGGGCCTTAAAACCAATTCTCGATATATTTCGTTCTAATTTTTAGAATCAGCACAAAATTCCACATCGAAATGACCTATTTTCCGATTTTTGCATTTTTGGCTCAACTGGGTAGAGTGGTGAATAGGAATCTAGAGGTCAGGGGTTCGAATCCCACCGGAGTCAAAATTATTTGTTTTTCTTTTTAGAGCAATTTTAGGTGTTTTGCAGGGTCTGGGAGCCAAAAAAATAAGCAGTTTTGGGATTCCCACCATGGAGCATCGTTAAAAATTTTCAAAATTTCTAGACATAAAATCAATTTTGAGCAGTTTTCATTGTGATTTTTGGATCCAGCACAAAATTCCACATCGAAATGATGTATTTACCGTTTTTTTTTGTATTTTTGGCTCAACTGGGTAGAGGGATGACTGCCGATCTAGAGGTCAGGGGTTCGAATCCCACCGGGGTCAAAATGGTTTCTTTTTCTTTTTAGAGCATTTTTAGCTGTTCTAGAGAGTCTTGGAATAAAAAACAGGCCATTTTGGGATCACCACCAGGGAGCATCGTTGAAAATTTTCAAAATTTCAGCTTCAAAACCCACCACAACAACCATATAGGCATTACGATCCCAATATTGATATCGGATTCATGGCATACAATATGCAACGCATTGGTATGGAACACCCTGAGAGACAGCAACTGATTTTAAATACAATGAACTGTTACTTGCAAATTTTTAGCTCTAATTTACCGCCAAACACCACGCCAGAGGACATTTATGAGTTCTTGGCTAGGGAATACCCCAATGAGACTGGCGAGCGGCTTTAATTGTATTTTTTGGTTCAAAAATCTGCAATTTTTAGTCCAAAAATGTCAGATTTTCTTGGTCCCTAAGTATTCCAAAATTTTTTTGTTCCCATTTTTCCAATTTTTGTTTTTTTTCCTGGGTTTTTCAAAGTATTTTTGTTTTTTTAATAAATAATTTTTTTAAAAAAAGTAGAAATTGAGCATTTCGAAAATTCGGATAATCCTGAAATTTTAGAATATCCCAGATTCCGAAATTTCAAAAATCGCAAAATTCCCAAGTCTCCGAAATTTTAAAAAAGCCAAAAATTTCAAAAATCAGTGTTCGGGCGACACAACAACCAAAAAATTGTAATCTATCTATCAGTATTCCTTATCACAACCTTGTCCTCTTTATCAATAGACAACCAGTTTGCCTTTTCTGGCTTCAAGAGTCACCTGCTCGCCTCTCTGTCACTTTTATGCATACTTGTAAAATTCCGGGCCGGCCCGCTAAAGCCCGGGCCCGGGCCCGGCCAGGAAGGCCCGGTATCAAAAATTCTGTATTTTTGAGCCAAATTTTGAGCTATCAATATAATTTTCTCCACTTTTTTTTTGTTTTTTTTTTGGATTGTTTGTCTGTTTGATCTAAAAAAATCGGAAAAAAATTTTTGATCGATAAAAATCACATAAGGGTCCCCCCTTATGTGTTTTTTGAAATTTTCAAAACTCGTGAAATGACGGGACCGCCGGGTCTTCAAAATTCGGGAAAAGGCCCGGCCCGTTACAAGTATGCTTTTATGTACAGAACCGGTCAATACAACATTCCTAAAAACGCATTTTTAGTTTAAATTCGTCTATAACATTAATTCTAGCAATTTCACATCATAAAAATCAAGTTTTAAATTGCTTTGAAACCCAAAAATTCAAATTTGGCACGTCGACTTGTCCACGAGGAGTACAAAACCCAATGTCAATGAAAACCGTCATTTTTGAGCCGGAAATCGCGAAAAGGAGTGTCTGAAAAACTAGGCATTTTCAAGAAAATCCTTTAAATGCAAAATTATCAATCTAGGTCTGTTTTAGACCCTCCATAATTTTCAAAGTGATCGGAAACTTGACAGCCGAGTTCTAGACTTCTGAAAATAGCTGAAAATCAAGAAAAAAACGTTTTTGTATATCTTATTGACCGGTACTGTATATTTTTGAGGTGAACGTGATATTAAGTATGTGATGATCCCAGCAGTGGCCAACAATGGTCCCTCTTCTCACCCTCTAATCCTCCAAGAAGTGGTGCTAATCCACATTTTTCCCACGGAATGACGTTTCCTAGAAAGCATTATAGGGATCTAATCCTTTCCTTGGAGGCATTGGAAGCGTCAGTAACGCCACGCGCTTCCATAGAACCGCAGACACCGTACACCCACAGCTGTGTAGGCAATCAATAATCCTGCACTTCTCTTCAAATGACGTCACATGACCCCCTCCTTCCATTCCCATGCGTTTGTGTAGCGTCCATTTCGTCCTCCACTGTACCGTCCATTCTGCATGACATATTACACACAACTGTGTCGTCCCCTCCTGCGGGCGAAGAGAGATTGCACATCTCTCCTCCTCTGCGTCTCTCTTTCTCTGCCCGTCTCAACTTTTTTGTCT